AAACCTTGTTTTTCTTTCCCGGATGTGTGGGGAAAACCGACATGAGCTCGGAGACCTTTTGGCGCCGTTGCACAATAGGAATAAAAGAGCTCAAAGCAGAGGTTACCTTATTCATCTCTGTGGGTATAAAGTCACGCTCCTTGGCTGCAGTCTGGATATTTTCCGTTCTTTATAATGACCTAGATCAGCTCATCACTTGCCCCACAATGTCCAACTGCTCCCTCAGAATAAAAGAGACAGAGCAGATTTGGTGCTGTAAATAGTGGCGCAATAAAAAGATCACTTGGAGATAAAGTACTGAGGGAGTGGCGGTGCCTCATTCTTATCTCTGTGCATTAGCAATGCTGTAGGCAGTTTCATCTTATATATGCATATGTTAGAATCTTATTCCCTTAGCTGGTAGAAGATGTTTTCAGAACCCCTTATGGGATTCTGTGGGTGTATCAGACTGCTGTAAACTGTATTTTTCAGAGAAGCCCAAAATGCTCTGCTCAGTTTCTTTTTTTTTAGATATAACAGTGGTGCTTTCCAGCAGTCATTCGTCTTCCTAGGTCTTCAGTGTTCATGTTCAGAGTGTTTCGCCGCCGTGTAGATTCTGGTTTGTTCTCAAGCTACATGTGTACTTTAGCAATGTCTTTCATAATATGGGTCACAGATTTCCCACCCCCCCAAAAAAAAACAGATTTAAGTGTCTTGCAACAGGTCTGATTCTGCAACAGAGCAGAAGAATGACCTTTTCACTTTTTGCTTAACATTTTCTGGTTGAATGCCTTGTCCGTTTAATAGGGAATCAGTAAACTGTTTAAAATGACGTGAAAATAAAATAAATCTCAAATTAGGCCACCATAAGCAGTACGAAAAGACCTTTTTAGCCCACCAAGCCCATTTGGTGGTTAATAGATATTGTAATTGATCCCAGAATCTCTTTCTTGAAGGAAGCCAAGTTATTGACAGCATGGCTGGGCAGCTTGCTTGCCTGAAGAATTGGCTCCTTTTCTCAGTTTGAAATGTATTGGCACATAGTTTCTGCTTGGGTCAGCTGGGTTAATTATGTCCAAGCCTGGGAATCGTGGACTTTTAAAGCTTTACCCAAAATATCGTCTCCTCCGCAGGAAAACTGGATCCAAAAGCAGAATCGTAACCTGGCTCCGGATCTCCAGAAAAACAAGGAACTGCCACGAATGACCCTCCCGGATCCTAGAGGGCCCCTGGGAGACCTCCACCGCCGCAGTTTCGAGCTCCGGGACGATCCCAACCACTACTTCGTCCACACGAAAGCCGGGGCCCTGTGTTTCCGGCAGGGCACGGAGATGGCGGTCCCGAAGTCCGCAGACGACCGCGCGAAGGGTAGTGCACGGAAGATCTTGGAGCAGCCGGAGCTACAGGGAGGAGGAGGAGGAGGAGGAGGAGGAGGAGGAGGAGCCAAGCCCAAGAGGGGCAAGCGGCTGGTGAAGTGTGTGTGCCGGCCCGGTTGGCACGGCCCGTACTGCGGGGTCCCCACCATGGTGTACCACTCCAACCTGCCTACCAAGGAGCGCCTGGCCCCGCGGGAGGTGCCCCGGCGGGTCATCAACGCCATCAACGTCAACCACGAGTTCGACCTGCTGCAGGTGCGCTTCCACGAGCTGGCCGAGGCCGTGGACCTCTTCATGGTGTGCGAGTCCAACTTCACGGCGTACGGCGAGAGCCGGCCCCTCCACTTCCTGCACCGCTTGCTCAACGGCACCTACGACTACGTCCGGCACAAAATCCTCTACATCTTCCTGGACCACTTCCCCGATGGGGGGCGGCAGGACGGCTGGATCGCCGACGACTACCTCCGCACCTACCTGACGCGCGACGGGATGAGCCGGGTGGCGGGGGTGCGGCCGGACGACGTCTTCATCATCAACGACGCGGACGAGATCCCGGCCAAGGAGGGGGTGCTCTTCCTCAAGCTCTTCGACGGCTGGACGGAGCCCTTCGCCATCCACATGCGCAAATCCCTGTACGGCTTCTTCTGGAAGCAGCTGGGCTCGCTGGAGGTGGTGTCGGGCTGCACGACGGGCATGCTACGCGCGGTCTACGACAACGACGGCATCAAGCTCCGCCGCCGGGAGTACTACACCATGCCGGGCTTCCGGCGCTACGAGAACGAGACCGGCCACATCCTGGTCCAGTGGTCCATCGGCAGCCCCTTCCACTTCGCCGGCTGGCACTGCTCCTGGTGCTTCACCCCGGAGGGGATCTACTTCAAGCTGGTGTCGGCCCAGAACGGGGACTTCCCGCGCTGGGGCGACTACGAGGACAAGAGGGACCTGAACTACATCCGGGAGCTGATCCGCACGGGGGGCTGGTTCGACGGCTCGGTGCAGGAGTACCCTCCCTCGGACCCAAAGGAGCACATGTACGCTCCCAAGTACCTGCTCGAGAACTACGACCGGTTCCGCTACATGCTCGAGAACCCCTACGCCAAGCAGGGGAAACTGTCCGGAGGGTAAGGGGGGAGTTACACATGCACTTAACCCGGAAGTAAACATCATGTGGAAGAGAAGCGGACAGCTGTTGTCTCGACCCAGGCACGCAGGGGAGGATTCAGAGACCTCTGTTTTTTTGCTGGCCCAGCCTCCCTTTAACCTCCTCGTCATGGTTTTCCCTTCCCGCGACCACAAGTACAAAATCGGACTTTGGCGGTGTGCGTCAGTGAGGGCGAGGGAGTTATCGGTGGCGTCTGGGCTTCGCATCGGCCGGGAAGGCGGGAGGGGTACGTCGGAAAGCAGGCAATGGCGCCCATGGAGTATGATAGCTTATTTTGTTTCTTTTCGGGGACTGGCGGTTTATCACAGACCTCCGTTGGACTTGTTGGGTTTTTCTTTGCCCCCTTCTCGCTCTCCCCCTGCTGCATCCACCCGCCCCTTCAGCTGAGCAGGGGGTCGAAAGGGTCGCTGGCACTGACATCACTTCCTGTTTCAGAGCCAGTGGCGCGTGCGTGCGTGTGTGGCTGTTTTGGCATGGTTCTCATAGCACTTTGGGGGGTAGTGGCTGCACTTGCAGGGTGTAGACCTTAGGAAAATGTTTTAGTCAGTGTGTCGGGAGGGGGGGTGGGGAGTTGATTCGTGTTGCCAGAAAGTCAGCCAACCCCACTCCCGAATCCTGAGACCAGAGCTAAAGTGTTTGTTTTTCATTCATTCATTTCTCCTTTTGGTGGTCAAAGTCCAGCAGGTTGCATTGGTGTGGCTCAAGAGCTGTGACACATCAGGTGACTGTAGGCAATACCAGTGGCCGGTCAGAGTCGGGGTCAAGGGTGAACCGGCCAGAGTGGCGATACGGTCTCTCGACTGAAGGCCCAGGCAAGCTGGACTTTTCTGAGCTGGGAGAAGGTGAATCTGAGGGATGCGCGTCGCCCGGTGGAGGGCGATGGTGGTGAAGTGTGTGTCTCGCTCGTCCTGCGGGGTGCGTCACCCGTAGGAGACGTGGGGGAGGGAGAGGGAACAGCCCTGCTGTCCGGGAAGATTAGAACTCCAGGAGCTGTGGGGAAATCGCAAGCGTCTCTTCTGCCTTTTTCCCCCCTCACTGTCCCCCTCCTCCTTTTCTTATCCTCTGTGGCTTCCTGTGAACCGACCGTCTGCGTGCTTGCTCGTCCCCTCCTGCGCAGATGATGCAAAACCCTTCTAATAATAAACCACGAGATGGGAGCGGGTTTCTGTGTTGTCCTTGCCAGAGCTGTGACGGTCATCCGGGCCAAAACGAGATTTGCCTCATCAAGCCAACTCGATGCTCAGGAATCGCTCTGCTGTTGGCAGATAACCGCGTGGGGCCTTGTGCTCTCCGACGGAGACGTGATAGTGCAGGCTTTCTTATTGTGATTTTATTAGCAGAACAGGAACACATTTTTTTTTTCTATGGATTTAGCATTTTGTCAGCCTCCCTGTGGAGGTTTTGCAAGAGCCAGCTCTTGATCTTAACTTATGATATGTAGCTTGTTTTCTTGGGCACTTAAATAGACAATGCACTGGAGCAGGTCTTTGAATGAAAACCCTGGTTCTTAAATTTAAATTAAAATTAAAGTGTAACCCCGGTGGCAAATATTCATATTATAGTCTTTGAAGTTTCCTTGCTACTTAAGTTCAGGGAGGAAAAAGGTAAACCTGTTACCCTCCTCTTTAAATACAGAATCATTAATTGATTATCCATCTTATTAGTGCATAGGGAATTTTAAATTGATTATCATGCCGATATTCAAGAAACCCAATTCACACGTCATACGTTAGCCTGCTTTGAAAGCGGAGTCATTTTCTTTACACGCTGAGGTCCGTCAGTGCAGTCCTAATGAAACGTGGTTCTTTAATTAAGTTTGGCTCAATTTGCCTTCCTGTCTCGACTCGCTTAAGCAAATTTGAAACGGCATGGACTTGCATATGCTTGTTCTCCACAAACCACCAGCACAATCCGGTAAAGAGGAGACAGTTTGCACTGTGCATTATTAATGATAATGCAATGCAGTCCACTAAGACTCTTAAGCAGCTTGCACATTCTTTAACACTTCTCATTATTTGAATGGTGGGCGTGCAGCCTTTGAAACAGGCATCTGGGATCATGCATGCAATGAAAACACAAACAGAATACTGTGTGCTCAAAGCTAAAAGCAAACTGTTCCTGTGTGCACAAGAGGAGCTCCTCACAGAAGAGGAAACACAGCTGAGGCTGTGTTTGACAGGCTGAATGCAGTGCAACAGTTTCAGTGCCATCAACCCATTTTGTTTGCACACATTTGGTTTTACTGCACATGCCTCTGGCCTGAGTCTCGGCTCCTGCTTTCCTCTTTAGGTCACCAGTAAGGGGGGGACTTGCAGTCCAGCCCAGGTTTTCCCCTGTAGACGAGGGGGGAAATCATCCTGACAGCTCGATCTGTGTGCGCTGCTCAGTGTGCTCACCTGCTCGCTGTTGGGTCGCCTCTTGTCAGCGCTGATAAATCTTCACAGACTGGCTGCACTGTCCCCCTAGTGAGCACGCACTGTGGCTGTTTAAGCAGATGGAGAGAAATGTACCTTTGTTAGTGTTCTGAATTTTCCCTGGCGATTTCCACAACTCTATTTTTTAAAATGGTAAAAAAAAAAAAAACAATGGGCAAAAACGGAAGGAAAAGGCCCCAACGCCTCAAGAAGTTTTTTTTTAATTTGCTTTCAGTCACAAGGAATCACGAAAAGCGATCAGGGCTATTGCTGTCCATTTGGATATACTATTGTATATACTGCCCACTGGAATGATTCATCTGTGACGTCAGGAATCACACTGGCTCAGATCATCTTGAGCCTGGTGCAGTAGAAAGGATAGCTACTGTCTTGCAGCTAAAGAGGATGTGGTGATCTGGTCCTGCATACTAAGGTTAAGCAAACTGCCTGTTTTAAAGTGGTTTCCCAGAGCAGTGAAGCACTATAAATTTGATGATGGGTACCACTAAAACCATAGGCTTCTTATAGCAACACAATCATTTTTTTTCCCTGTATTTTAATCATAAAACATATGACATATCTATAGAGATAATAAACCGTCTATGCATAAATGCAAAAATCATTTACTCAATTCCATCAAAGATGTCACTCAGAATGAAATGTATTGAACCTCCCATTACTGAATGTCATCAGATCAACAACACTCCTGCCTGTTTATTAATGACGGTGCTTGTCGGTGAGTTTTTGAGTGATGAAGAATATAGAATTGGAGCACTTGTGATTTAGAAATGCAGGTGAAGGCTGTGCCCCGGGATGCGATCCTGTGACAAGTGGTAGAATGTATCGCTGGGATACTCGCTTTATTCTTCACTTGAGAAAGTCACTGAGAACTTGTAAAAGGTGACTTTTAAAAGTGTCTCAGTGCACAGCATTTGAATGGAGCTAAATGACAAAAGAGCTGACAAGGCGGTCCTTTCACAGTTTCCTCACTTGTTAATATGATTCTCTTGGTGCAGAGGCTAAAAATGTTCTGGACAGTAACAGCTGTCTCTCTGTTACCATGAGAGTCTCTGTTACTGGAAGGTTTTTTTTTTTCCTCCTCTTTCTTCTGTCAGAGGCAGAACTAAAGCAGAGGTGACTGTGCTCAAAGAGAACCCCAGCCCAGCAAGGGTTCAAAGGTCACCTCTAAATCATCTTGTGCTGGGAACAGCATCAATATGATTGGTTGATCAGGGAATGTGTTTGATCTGTTGATTTTACAGATCGCTTAGTTCAAAACCCGGACAAACCCGTTCCCTTAATGGAACAGTCACTGGACCAGCAGCAGTTTGGTTAGTGTGGGTTTGCCCGACCTTTAAATCAAGATCACATGGGATGCACTGAAGTTACCTGCGAGAAACAAATAGTATTTGTTTACCCTGTATATTGATACACTAAGGAATAATAAATTATGAGCAAACATGCTGCTGACGTTTAATGCTTGCACATTGGTTCAAGGAGGACACAGAAATATGTGGACAGCAGATGGGGGAGGGCTGCAGTTTTGTCACTGGGTTTAACAATCGGTTCCTTAGGAGTCTTTCTTCTGTGAGTTTGCCAACTATATTCCCCAGAAGGAGCCGATCAATCAGTAGCCTAAAAGTTTATTTTGTTGTGTTAGGTAGAGGTGGTCTATTAAGGAAAAAAAGGCATCACAGAGGACATCTTTAGTTTGACATTGCCAATGAAATGCACAAAACCAAGCCTCCTAAGGTTTGGTGATGTTGGGGACGAATCCTCCAGTTTTAACATCCGATTCCGGCTTTTGATGCAACGAAAAAGATGTAGTGGGCCGCCTCATCTTTTTGTCTGCATCGCAATATCTCAAACCAGCAGTCGTCAAGGGTTGTCATCTGCCGAAAGGGACAAGGATATTCGTGCAGGATCTGTTTGCTTCTGCTGCTTTTTGATGTTAAGGCCGCTTCCCAGCGGTTTAGTATTGTTGACGCTGCTGGCCGAGTCGTGGGGTGAGGGATTTACTCTGCCCTGGTCACATTCCCCTCTGGCTCCATGCTCCATCTATATATAGTGCGCGGAGAGGGACGTTACCCGATAGCGTCCTTGTCAAATGATCACTGGGAAGCGATGGCAGCGTGCCGACAGACCCCCTCCAAATATAACTGGTCGATCGGACAGGCGGGTTGTAGATCAAGCACTGCAGGGGTAGCTGGAAGACAGCTCGGTAACTCGGAGCAGATTAGAGCACCAGTCTCCGCGCGGGTGCCGGCAGGAGTCGGGGGTTCTGCACCTCCGCAAAAAAAGAAAGTATCGACGACCGGGAGCCCACGGTGATTTTTAAGCTCTTGGGTTCGAATAGCAACTAGAAGATGCTGCCTCTTTCAAGAAGACGTTTGGTAGCTAGTGCCGAGTTTTGATTTCTCCTGTTAGGCTGCTTGTGACCCGGGCAAGTCCTCTGTGTGGCGCAGCCCATAATGTTTCTAGAGGTCTTGAGTGTCGCCCGTTTAGAGGGGCTGGAGCGATCCAAGAGAAACGGCCATGGGGGACAAGCAAGAAAAGAGTTGAACGAGAAAATAATGGTAAGAGAGCATCTTCTGCAGTTTGCTCAGTCTGGCTGAGGTCTCGGGACATGATGGGCGATGGGATGGCTTTCGTCTGGACCATGTTTCTGCATCCCTCCACCAGCATGAGCATACTGTGCATCCCCAGCTGAGGAGCCAGGACTTCCATCAGAGCCACCGTGTAAGTGGACAGAGTTGTAGCGGGCCACCCCCAGAGCATTGTGGGAATGCCAAAGAGGGCGTCTTTCAAAAAGGCTCCCCCCCCGCAAGCCAAGGGGGCTTATGAAGACGAGCCACTGTTTCTGTTCTCATCTTGGGAGAGAGGGGGGGTTTGATGCAGGATTGGATCAGGGCAAGAGTCTCTTCCGTTGGCACCCTCGCCCTGAGCTCATACTCCAGCTGGGGATGCATCCTTGGATTGTGTGAGGGGGCTTGGAGGGTGGAGGTGGATGTGGAATGTGTCAAAGCTCTTCAGATCTGCTGTGGAAAACCAAAACAAAAAATGGAACTCAAGGAGGTCTGTGAAAGTCGGGATTATATGTTTTTATTTTTACAGTTAATTGGATTGTTCACCTCTCGTTAGTCATTTTCGTTTTTGTCTTTTTTTTTAACATTCTTAATTTATTGTGGATTTTTAAAAGGGAAAAGAAAAAGACCAAACTGTGGACAAGTGACAGGGAGGCCTGGCGTGTTGTCATGACTACGACCACTAGCTCTGTGTGTGGCATCCCTGATCTCGTGTGTTGTTGTTTTTGTGCGTTTCTCAGCTTGGGTAGGAATAGTGAAGGTGTGTGTGTGGGGGGGGGAGGGGGGTGTAATTGTGTGGAAAGATGGGAGAAACTTTGTTGACAGTCTTTAACCGTTAATACGGCAAGGCTTTGTGATAAGTGTCTGGTATCCCAAAACCTGACTTATGCACGTTCAAGACAACCATGTGAAAAAAGCATCCAGCATTGATTGTGTTGGAATTGTGTTGTTTTGTTTATGACGACAACATGCAGCCTGGCCACTCTGTGCTGACCAATGGAAGGGGATTTATAGCACATCCTGTCTGGATGCTTTACTGCAACTCTCGTCACTCAGGCCTCTCCAGGTCCTGTTTTCTGCACAGCCTGGTTTCTAAGCTTGTTGCATAACCAAGTCTGGGAGACGATGCCGAAGCTTGCACCAGCAGCTGGGATTCAC